AAAGGCCGTTTGGAAACAAAGAGAGAGAGCGGCATGATGCAGCCTCAAACCAAGGAAGACTGAGAGCCACCAGAAGCTGGAAGAGGCAAGGAACGATTCTTCCTTGGAGCCTTCACAGGGGGTGTGATCCTGCTGACACCTTGATTTCAGACCTATGGCCTTCAGACTGTAAGAGAGGAAATATCTATAACTGTAACCCAGTTTGTGGTCATTTGTTACAGCAGTCCTAGAAACTAATACACTGCTCAAAACCATGTTGTTGGGTGCTGTCGAGTCAATTAAAACTCATAGCGACCCCTTGTGACAGAGTAGAAATGCCTATTGGGTTTTCTTGTCTATAATCTTTAGGGAAGCAGACTGTCAGGTCTTTCTTCCATAGAGCTACTGGGTGGGTTCAAACAGCCAATCTTTTAGTTAATGGCTAAGCGCTTAACTGTTGGACCACTAGGGCTCAGTGCTCTAAGCCCGGCAGAGAATGTATGGGTGAGAGGAAGACCCCTTGAAAATTAGGACTCCAAGGCCAGGCCACTCCAACTTCTTTGAGTGAGCCGCATTACTGCATCTGTGAAATGGGGTCACACACCTATCCAGCCCCCAGCCCTGTGGTAAGAATCAAACTTGGTAAACTGTAAAACCCAAACCCATTGCTATCAAGTCAATTTTAACTCATAGCAATCCTATCACTAAAAACTCACTGCCATTGAGTCGATTCTGACTCATACGGACCACCCCACTGGATTTCCAAGGCGGTAAATCTTTACAGAAGTAGATTGTTCTATCTTCCTTCTGCAGAGTGGCTGGTAGGTTTGAACCACCAACCTTCTAATGAGCAGGCAAATGCCTGAGGCACTGATCCACCAGAACTCCTTTTTGGTGACCCTATTTAAAACAAAACAAAACAAAACACCAAACCCACCGAGTTTCCCAGGCAGTAAATCTTTATGGAAGTAGATTGTCTTCCTTCCACGGAGTCTGTCTTCCTTCCACTGAGCAGCTAGTGGGTTTCAACTACCAACCTTCTGGTTAGCAATCAAGTGCCTTAGGTCCTGTGTCACCAGAGTTCCTATAGGACAGAGTGAAAACTACCCCATAGGGATTCCATGGCTGTAAATCCTTATGGAAGCAAACTGCATGCACAGCCAAGCGCTTTAACCACTGTATCACCAGGGCTCCTGGTAAACTGTAAGGACTATGCAAATGTTGGTACTTATCACACTTAATATCGGAAGGAAGATTGGGCAATCTACTTCCACAGTGATACTGCCTCGGAAACCCAAGAAGGGGTCGCTATGAGTCAGGTCTGACTCGACGGCACATAACAACAACAACAACATCATCACACTTAATAACAATAATTTTACTGCTGAGCATAATTAAATCCTGGGTGATTCAGAAGGCATTTCAGGAGCTTAAGCTCATTATTGTCAACACCAACTATCCACTGAATCGTATTTTTGATCAAATTGTGATGGTAGGAACTTTCTCCGTATTTAAATTCCAGATGAGCAAGGATTTTATATAAACTATCAAAATATGCTGGTGACACACTAGCATCCACTCTCATCCTTTGTTAGTCCCCACCCGCCCACGCACTCCCCTCCCCAGGCCCTGCATCCCCGAGGATGAAGGGAGGAAGGGAGGGTTTGTCTACTTCTGCAGAATGTATTCATTTGAGCAGGAAGCCCGGCTCTGGTGAAAAACCGTCTCCCAGACTCCACCCGCTCCCTTTAATCCTCCCACTGAATGCTGAGCGGCAGGAGCAAAGCCGTTCAGATGAAATTATTTTAATTCAGCCAGATGCTGGGAATTAGTCTCTTTTCCTTGCTAGTGTTATAGGGAAACACAGAATCCTGGCAAAGATGTCCCAGAAGAAAAGGAAGCTGACAATATCAGGAGGGAGGGAAGCAGGGAGGCCCCCAGTGCTGCAACAACTTAAATCAAGGAAACTGCTAGCAGGGAAAGATGAACAAGGAGGAGGGGAGCAGGGAGGAGGAGAGAAGGAGGGGCTTGATAGGTTTTAAAAGCAGTCTGTTTACCAACTCCCAGAATACTAGACCAGTAACAGCAACCAGCTTTGTCGAGCTTTAGAATTTCCAAAGCACTTTCACTTATATTATTACCTTATTTAATAATAAACGAGGGAGGAAATACCAATTGGTTAGAAACTTGAGGGAAAATGAAATTTAGGCCTCAAGGAATTCAAATTCAACACCTTTCCCCAGGCACCACCACCTTCGTGATCTCCTTGAAGCCTCACAGCAACCCTATTAGTCCCATTACACCTGTGAAGAAGGAGCCCTGGTGGTGGTTAAAGTCTCAGCTGCTAACTGAAAAATTAGCAGTTGGAACCCACTAGCCACTCTGCAGGAGAAAGATACGGCAGTCTGCTTCTATGAAGATTTACAGCCTTGGAAATGCTATGGGGCAGCTCTACTCTGGCCTGTAGTGTTGCTATGAGTTGAAATTGACTTGATGGCAATGGGTTTAGGTGAAGAAACTGAGGCTTGGAGAGTTTAAACAGAAGCTCTGTTCTATATTTTAACTGGGTTCTATCTCTTGTCTGAACTCCCATGAGCACCCAGACCTTCAATACACTAAGGTGTAGAAGTTTTTATCATAACCTGCTCTAAACATCTGGTCTACTGGTACCTCATCTTCATCCAGTCATGAATTCATGATAGATCCTCAATGAGCACCTATTGCAAGCCAAGCCCACACTTGTGTGAGATCTACTCTTGTGGTCAAGTTCCTCCAGATGCATTAAGGTAAACAGGCAAATAGAGCAATCAGAATGAGCAGCTGCCTATGACTTTTATCTGGTCATCTCTACAACCAGAAGGCTGGCAGTTCAAATCCACCAGCCACTCCTCAGAGGAAAGGTTGGGCAATCTACTTCCACAGTGATACTGTCTCGGAAACCCAGAGGGGTCGCTATGAGTCGGATCTGACTCTACAGCAGTGCGTTTGGTTTGGTTTAGTTTACACTGTTTAGTTCAATCAATTCTTTATTTATATAGTAAATAATCACCCTATATGCCTATCTAGGAGCTCTGGTAGCATAGTGCCTAAGGCACTTGACTGCTAACCAGAAGGCTGGCGGTTCAAACCCACCAGCCACTCCTCGGAAGGAAGGTTGGGCAATCCTACTTCCCTAGTGATACTGCCTCGGAAACCCAAGGAGGGGTCGCTATGAGTTGGGAGTGACTCGATGGCAAATAACAACAACAACAACAACATTCTTCAACTGTAAGCCTCTGAGTGAAGGGCTTGTGACACAATAGCCTAGTGAATTAAGGCCCTGGCTCTAGAACCAGACTGCCTGAGCTAACTTAAGCTCTTCCACTCAATAACTGTGTGACCTTGGGCAGTTCACTTAACCTGTCTGTATTTCAGTTTCCTCATCTGTAAAATGGGAACCATAATATATGAGATGTTAGGATATATGGTATTACATATTACAATACACCATAATACATCATGTAAGTAAGTCTATACATATAAAGCACTTAGCACAGTGCCTGACTCAGAATAATTGCTCAATTAATACTGGCTAATAACACTATTCTATCTCTATCTCAGTAGTTCTCAAAGCATGAACTCAGGGTCCCCAGGGGATCCACGGGGTCAAAAATTATTTTCATAATAATGCTAAGATGCAAAGTATCCCAGAGGCCACCTGACAGCGATACCACAGCAGATTGCAGGAGCATACAGTTTATGTCTTTTATTAAGCCAGACATTAATGAGATTTGCAAAAATGTAATACTGGGCCATTGTTCTCACAAAATGATTTTTATTTTGGAAAATAGTTATTTTCTCAAAATGATGTTACTTATGGTAACATAGAATGGCCTCAATTATTGTTATGTTTAAATGAATTACAACATAAATATTCTCTCGTTTTCTTTTCTAACATTGTAGACATTGATAGACAATAGATACAGTAACTGCATGGATTCCCCAGGAAGCTCAGAAAATCTTTTTTCTCCTCCTCACTCCCTCAGCCCCTGTACCCTGAGCTGGCCCCAGCCCCACGGGAAGCTGTGTTCCCAGGCTAGCCCAGGCTTTGTTTTGTGTTCAATGCTACCTTCTCTGCCTCTGTTCTGCCTCCTCCTCCTCTCCCCAGACCCACCAATTTCTCACCTTGTGGCTCCTAAGTTAACCTAAGAGGCACTCAAGCCTGCGTGCTTTGGGGGTATGAACCAGGTTTTAGAATCATGATGACCTGCATTGGAATCCTGACTCTGCCACTTATTGCCCTTGGACAAGCAACTTAACCCCTCTGAGCCTCCATTTCTTCATCAGTAAAATGGGGATGACAATAGTACTTACTGCTTAGGACTATGGTATGTAAAATGCCCTTCACTTGACAAATAAATAACTATCATTATTAGGATGCATCACTGTTACTAGCTATCAGGTACCCTGAGAGCCTTCTGCTTGTGGCCAGCCTCCCCTCCCACTGCTCTCATCTCCTGCTTCTCCCCAGTCCCACAGAAAAAGCACAACCAAGGGCTGCCTGGAATAGCAGAGACTGCCTTCCCAGAACACGCACACACGCGCACACACACACACACACTCACTTCCTCAACCCCATGTAAGAGTGTCACCCTACTCCAGAGCTAAAAGTGACAAATGACAACTAAATGCCAAGCGCCTAGGTTCCAAAACTGAAAAGGCCCCTCTGCCAGCCAGTGTTGGTGCCAAGGCAGTCTTGGCTCAGGGACATGACTGGTGGCCATGATGGCAGGGGAGTCAAGGGACCAGGGCTCCTGGCCCAGCTCTGCCTCCGACTATGATGGAGTTCCTTCACCCCTCTGGGCGTGCTCAGCTGCAAAAGGGAAGATGCCTTCTAGTGCTGATGTTACAGAATTCTGTGACAGGCAGGTTAGAATGAAGGGTTTGTGTACCTCCTACCCGATTCCCTCCAAGGAGGCCAGCTTGCGCTCTGTCACTGCCCACCCCCACCAAGTCCTGTCCTGGGTTCCCCTGTCACTCACCCTACAGTTGCTGAGCTCCTCGGCAGACAGAATGATGGTGCCACATTTCTTCCCTGGGACACCACTGAGGGAGGAGAAGATGAAAGAATGGAGAGCCAGACAAAGATTAGACACAAACCTGAATACTCCCTAAAATGGCCCTCCCACATCCCCCTTTCCCCTCACCATCCAACAGATCTACCCCAAAGTCCCTGAGAAGAGAGAGTCTCCTGCAATACTTGAGGCAGTGTGGTCTAGTGCACTGCTCCCTGGGGCCAGGTTCCCAGGCCTGGAGCTGCCCCACCCCCTGCTCCCCAAGAGCCTGCCAGGAAGGGCAGCAGGTCTCCAGTGAAAGTCCTAGAATGGAAAAGCATCCAGACTCACCCGGAGGCTTCCAGACCAGTGGTTCTCAAACTTTCCATCCAAAGACCACTTCTGTGGGCAAAAGACCTTGTGGGCTAGCCACTCTATCCCATGCCCAGCTGACCCCCAGAACCCCCAGCAAGCAGCCCAGCTCTGAGCTTCTCTGAGTTATCATGGGAGGAAAAGCAACAAGAGGGAGCAAGCCCAGAGGCTGGAATACTCTCGGCAGCAGCTTTCCCAGGCTTTCTCCCATGCCTACCTCACCTTGGGCCCCTTAGCTGGGGTCTCCCAGCATCTCAGTGACACAAAGTTGGTCTGCTCAGATAATTCCCTCCAGAAGGGTAAGTTCCCAAAGTAGGGCTCCACCTGGGGGGAACCTATGCCACTTCTTCCCTGGTCAGGCAGGGCCCATCCCCCAGACACCAACCCATCCCACTCTGGTTTCTGCGACTAACCTAGGGGGTCCCAGGACAGCCAGGGCCACTGGGAGGAAGAGAGAAAGGGAAAGGTCAAGTTGTCTAAAAACTGTGGACTTTGGGCTCTTGACTGGGCCTCAGTTTCCTCACCCATAAAATGGGTGTGATCACAGCATTCATTTTACTAACACACACAGTGCTTGGCTCAGAGAAGGCCCTCAGTGAGCACCTCTCCCTGCCCCCTTTGTTTCACAATTGTGTAGAACTGATAAATTCTACTCCTAGACCTCAGGTCAGCCCTGGGGCCACCTGCATGCCTTCTGTGGAACACACTTTGAGAACCACTGATGGAGCTCCTCCCAGCACCAGCTTTTGGAGGGAGAGGCTCTCAAACAGAGGATGTAGGGGAGCCGGCCCCCAAGGGGGCTGATGGGATAGCCAGTCACATCTCTTCAAGTCAGGTGAGCAGAGCAGGGCCCACACCTGGAGCCTCCCCTGCCACAGGCAGGTGGCAGTGCCTGCTGCCAGTTTGTCCCCTAGATCTGGGTAGCTGAGCTGGGCACCCCAAGGTCCATCCACACTGCAGCCCTGGTCCTCCCTGGTAGTAGATAAGATTTGTTTGACCAAGGAGATAGAATCCTCAACAAGCCTCCTCCACCCCATGTTTCCCCATCTGCTTCTCTCTGCTCTGAGTTCTCTCTTCTATTTCCTGTATCTCCTTCCCTCTTCCCCCAAGTAACCTGCTCCCACCTACTTGGCCTTCCTTTCTCCCTCTCTCCCTCATGACTTTCTCCCTCATCCTCTATCCCTCTCTCTGTTTCTCCCTCCAACTCCTGTTCCCTCTCCAATTACTACTTATTTACTCTTCTTGTAAATCAGCATCCACATTCTTTGTGGGCTGTGAGCACCCCTGGGTCCTCTGGAGGCCCCTTCTCCACATCCAGGTAATCTATGACCAACTGGATTGCTCGGACTCCAACTCCTAGGAGGCCCCCCCAGCAATGGCGAGCAGAACTCTGCTTACCCAACCAAAATGCCCATCTGCCAGAGGCAACCTGTGAGTTGGTCCTTGAGCAGATACTCCCTGCCCCCCTGCCCCTAGCTGGGGTGAGAAAGAAGTCAAGGTGGGGACCCTCCAATCAGGAGAAGAGGAGAGTGGGGAGTGGAGAAAGTCTGCACTACTGCCCATGTTTGCATGAGGCCAGCCAAGAGCAGACGGTGAGGATGGGGGCTCAAGCCACAAGGAGGGCCCACCACAGCTGGTGAGCACATGGGAAGAAGGGAGGATTGAGGAATCTACTGAGGAGAAAGAAACAGGAGGGAAGCAGGGTGGGGGAATAAAGAGATAAGAGGGAAAGAAAGAGAAGGGTGGGAGGTGGGAGGCGGAGAAACTAGACCAAGGAGCAAGGAAGGGAATGGAGAATGCCCAGCCCTGCTGATTCCTGGAAGCAGCTCCTACTAGAAGTCCTTCACCCTGGTCCCTAAAGTCCTAGGAGCCCACTTGGGCTTAGGATGCTCCAGCTGTAGCTTGAATGGGGGCAAGGACCAGCTGTAGAGTGGGGGCCTCCATGCAGGGCCTGAAGTGCTAGGGTCTTTAGTCCCAGGACCCTCCTTGACCCCTAACAGGTGCTTACTTCACAGTGGTGGGAGCAGGAACTAAGACCTGACTGGGAGGCCCCTTCTGCAGGGCTGGCTCAATGTCTGAGAACTCTGAGGCCCTGAGACGTCCAATGACCTACCCGTTGGACACAGCTGGCATGGGTTTGCCTGTCCTGGAATTCAGGCTGAATGCTCCTATCCTGTGGAAAGAGAGCAAGAGAGACAGCATGCTGTGAGCAGAGACCCATGTCTTCAGCACTTGCCCTCAGCCTTGGATACTTGGAAGCTGGTTTCTGTTCTGGGGGCCAAAACTGGACTGAAATCCACAGGCCAAGGAGAGAATGATCTCCTTCCCAGATTTCATTGTGAAACTCTGGGCAAGGTACCCTACTTCGATGGTTCTCAAAGCTGGCCCTCAGACCAGCAGACTCAGCGTCAGTATATCATCTGGTAATGTGTTAGAAATGTAAATTCTCAAGTCCCATCCTGACCTATGGGATCAGAAACTCTGGTGTGTGGAGCCCAGAAATCTGCTTTAACAGAGGATTCTGATGCAAGCCATTGTTTGAGAACCACTGCTCTGCCTCATCGAGCCTCACTGAGTATCTGGCTGTGAAATGGGATGGATAGGAATGCCAATGCCACCTTAAGAGACTGATGGTGTAATTGCATGAAATCGTGTAAGCAAATTACTGACTCTTGTGTCTGACCCAGAATTTAAACAAAAACAAAGTTGCCTTCAGGTTGGTTCTAGCTCATCTGGGACCCATGTGTTACAGAGAACTGCATTCCACAGCGTATTATTCATGGCTGTAAACTGAGCAGATATGCCCTGCCCCGCTGCCCCTAGCTGCGGTGAGAAAGAAGCCAGGGTAGAGACCCTCCAACCAGAAGAAGAGGAGAATGGGGAGTGGAGAAAGTCTGCACTACTGCCCATGTTTGCATGAGGCCAGCCAAGAGCAGATGGTCAGGATGCGGGGGTCAAGCCACAAGGATGGCCCACCACAGCTGGTGAGCACATGTGAAAAAGTGAGGATTCAGGGAATCTACTTGGAGGAGAAACAGGAGAGGAAGCAGGGTGGGGAAATAAAGAGATGAGAGGGAAAGAAAGAGAAGGGCCGTTCTTCCGGGGTGACTCTGTGTGTGTTTGAATAGCCAGTCTTTCATTTAGTAGCCAAGCACTTAACCATTTGCTCCACCCAAAGGTTAAATGCTTGATGACTACCCAAAAGGTTGGTCATTTGAACGCAGAGGCGCCTCAAGAGAAAGGCCTGGCAATCAGCTTCTGAAAGGTCACAGCCTTGAAAACCCTGAAGAGCACAGTTCTACATGGAACACATGGGTCATCATGGATCAGAGTCAACCTGACAGCAACTGGTTTGGCCTGGGGCACAAAACACATACCCAGGACACAGGAACTGCTCATATGATCTAGTGGCAAGATGAGACTTAGACATATATGTCTTTATAAAGCCTCGTTGGTCCTCCACCACCAACACCACATTACCTCTACATTTCAGATCTTGCTTGCCCCTTCAGGTTCAGCTGACAAGCCATCTTCTGCAGGAAGTCTTCCCCAAACCCCTCCCCAGAAGGTGTGCCTCACTACCACAGGCAGACAAGGCAACAACAGGCAGAGAATAGACACAAGGATTCTTGGGCTTGTGACCCAGGCATTAGGGGGCTGACAAAGGGTAGACAGACATACTCATTCCTGGGCATCTCCAACCTGGCAATCTAGGTAGAGCCATGGTTGGGGTAGGGAAGCTATCTGAAAGGTCAAATAATGGACGTACAACACAGGGGACAGTAGTGGGTCAGTAGTAAAATTCTCTCACCTTCCATGCCAGGGGGACCTGGGTTCAATTTCTGGCCAGTGCACCTCATGCACAGCCCCCACCCATCTGTCAGTGGAAGCTTGCATGTTGCTATTATGCTGAACAGGTTTCGGTGGGGCTTCCAGGCTAAGACAGACTAGGAAGAAAGGCCTGGAGATCTACTTCTGAAAATCAGCCAATGAAAATTCTATGGATCACAACAGCACTAGCTGTGACCAACTATAGCGATGTTTCAGGACTGGTCAGCATTTCATTCCATTGTGCATGGGGGTCACATGAGTCAGGGGCCAACTCTGTTCCACTCAGTGGCAATGAACAACACTTAACCAGGCACACAGGGCAGATGTTCCTGAGTTCCTCCTACTTACTTTCATGGGCCCCTTCCAAGGCAAAGAAAGAATACAAAATTACAAATAAAAACTGCTGGGGCCTCCAAAGATGGAGCCCTAGTAAATTTGAATTTATAATTTTGTGTTCTTTTTTTTTTTTTCCAGAAAGGTCCTCCCCCTCAAATTGTATAAGCTTTAGACTCACCCCCTCAAACCTGGATCTGCTCCCTACTCTCAATAAGTTATAGCTATCATCATTATTTTCTGTGAGCCCAGAGAAGGAAACCTTTCTAGGGCCCCTGAAGTCATCACACAGTTACTGGGCGTCAGAGACAAGGGTCTGGGAGAGAGATCCCCTGAGTGTGCAGTTACTGGGCATGGTGAGAGGCCAGGATCCTGTGGGAACTTAGGAGGAGCAAGTTGAGGGCTCATCTTCCTTTCCTGCCTGCATTACCCTATGTCCTGGACACTTTCCCCAATCTATAGGCCACTATGGGAAGCCTTAGGATTCCTCATCCCAGAATCTACTCAGAGTAATAGCTTTCCCCTAAATACACCTCAAGATCCTATGATGCAGACAGGGGCAGGGTGGGGTGGGGAGGGTTTTGCCATACCCAGCTCTGGCCTGCAACAAGCTATGAACAATCTGAGGAACACTGCTCTTTGAATAGAGCCACCACCTCGTACCTGTGTGGCCTTAGGCAAATCACTTGCCCTCTCTGGGCCTCAGTATCTTCTCCCATACAATGATGGGAGTGAGGGGGTGAGAGTGGATCAGATGGTGTCTCAGGGTCCTCCCAGAAGCATGAGGCTTTAATAAGCCAGCCTGGATCCTTCCAAGACAGGTGGGTGAAAAGCCCTGTAAGGGCAGGGCCCAAGGTGTCTCTTATTTCTGATCACCCTACACAAGCCCATCATGACTGGCAGACTGTTTTATCCCCAACCCTGAGCCTCAGCCAGCCCTCAGCAGGGACGACCCAAAAGTTGGCCCATCCATGGAGAAACAGCTTAAACAGACTTCATCCCACACACACACTTACGTGAGGGGCTTCTCCAGGCGGCTTCCAGGGGACCCCACGATCTCTCCAAGGGTGCAGAAGGCCTGGCCTAGGAAATCCTGTATACCCAGGGTACAGCAAAGACCAGTGTCACCCACTCTACTCACAGCTACCACCACCTCCCTCTGCCCAGCCCCAGAAGTGTGAAGGGCTCTGAAATGACAGGTTGCAGCACCAGACACACACTCTGTGCCACAATGAAGCCCGAGGCCAGCCCAGGTGATGGCGTTTGAGAGGCTTTTCAGAATTGCTGTGCAGACGCTGGCAGAACTCACATGTTTGGATAAGTCAGGGCTCTTCGAGTCAACGTCGTATCTGCAGGCAACATAGAGAGAAGGTGAAGGGCCCCTGCTGAGTCAGGGCCCCTGCAGCCCATTAAACAGGCTCTGAAACCGTGGTTATTTCTGGGCCCAACGACTGGGCTATGCACAAGGGAGTCTACTGGGGGGCTGGACATGTTCTCTTGATCTGGGTGTAGTTACATGGTTAGGATCAGATGCAAAAATGCACCACAGGGTGTACACTTATGATTTGTGCATGTTGCTGTATATATGCTGTTACCTCATTAAAATTTTAAAAATAAAATAAATCAGCTCTTCCACTTCTAGGGTTCACAGCCTAGGTGCGGAGCCACCTCACCCTTTATCTCCTGCCCTGGTCCCCATCTTCCTAGGTAAGGGTCAGCTGTCCTTGGAGCTCAGTGCCTTGCGTTTAACCTTCCCTCATCGCCTCACCTTGCCCAGACCTGCCCTGCCTGGTCACTCAAGAAGGAGGCTTTAATTTTTAATACCTATTAAAACTTAATGTTTAATACCTAACATTGTCACCTCCTCTGCAGGCTTATCCTGCAGCGAGGGCCCCTCCCCTCACCTGAAATGCAGCCCCCCACACACACACCAGCATCCCCTCCCCTCATCATTCTCTCACCCCTGCCAAGAACACGTCTCTCTCTAAAACGTCACCAGGTGACTTCTCTTCGATGAACTGTGGTGAGGCTGCTCAACCTCAGTTTCTCCCACCACTCTTCACAAACCCATCTCCTCCCACTGCATGTTTCCCCTCTGCTCCCTCAGGCCCCAAACTCCCTTCTTTTCCACCCTGTCCACAGTTCTCTTGGAAGCCGACCTTTCTAACCACCCCACACCTCATAAAAAAAAACCAACTCCCCCTGCCCCCACTCACAAAGACTGAACTTCCACCATTATCTTTAACCTCAGGGAGAAGCCCTTCCATTTTTTGGAGAGAGGTTGGGAGAGAGGTTAAGGCCACCTTTTCAGTCACCAGGAGAAAGGGACTCCCTACATCAAAGCCTAGAGCTGACCTCAAGGTCTTTCCTCCACCTACACTCCCCAGAGTCAGGGCCTCCCACCACTTAACTAAGACAAATATGGGGAGAGAGTGGCACCTTTGTTCTCTCTCACATACCCCCTTCCTAGACCCTGTTGGGCAGTGAGGCTGGAATCAGCTAAACCCAAACCAAGCCTATTGCCATCAAGTCAATTCTGACTCAGTGACCCAATGGGATAGAGCAAAATTGTCCCATATGGTTTCCAAGGCTGTAAGTCTTTACAAAAGCAGACAGCCACATCTTTCTCCAGAAGAGGAGCTGGTGGGTTTAAACTGCAACCTTTCAGTTGGCAACTGAGTGCTTAACTACCATGTCACCAGCTAATTGTTCCAGCTAATTGTCACTTTTACTGTAGGCCTGCCCTGGGCTCCCTCTAATATTCCAGCTCCTCCCACTTTCCTAGGAGCCCTGGTAGTGTAGTGCCTAAGGCACTTGACTGCTAACCAGAAGGCTGGCCGTTCAAACCCACCAGCCACTCCTCGGAAGGAAGATGGGGCAATCTACTTCCCTAGTGATACTGCCTCGGAAACCCAAGGAGGGGTCGCTATGAGTCTCATCTGACTCGACGGCACATAACAAAAAAAAAAAAACCACCACCTCGGAAACCCAAGGAGGACTCACTATGAGTCAGGCTGGGTGGACTTCACGGCACATAACAGCAACAACTCACTTTCCTATATCCTGAGGCCCTACCTCTCAGCATTGGCTCCTCCCCACCCAGCTCAGCCTTAGCACTTATCTTCCACTTACAGGTCGAATCGGAGGTTCTGCTTCTCCTCGAAGAAGTAGTCCACAATGAACTTGCGCACAAAGTCGGGATTGAGCGTGTTGTCGATAACTTCGGTTCGTCCAAACTGCAAGAGAAGATGAGACATGAGCCCTGGGGCCATTCTATGGGGAGGGAAAGCACTGGACTAGGAATCTCTTAGCCCTGGCTCAGCAGAAAGGGAAACCAGTAATGGAAGCAGTACCTAATGGAAATCCTCTCACGGCTCCTGGCCCTATCCCCTTCTAGTCAAGGAGTAAATTCTTCCATCAAACAATGGAAGCCAATCACATTATGGCTGCAACCTACATTGTCAACCTTATTCTATTTCATTCCACCTAAATTGTATGGTTTTGCTACCAAGCAGGCCTTTCACTCCCACCTCACTGACTTTGCTTATGCTATGCCTTTCTCCTAGTTTCCCTACCCCTTCTCTGCCAGTGGTATTTCCTCCATTCTTTCAGGACCTGCTGTTAATGCTGCCTCCTCCAGGAAGCCCTCTTGATTTCCTCTACCTGGAGAGGTCCTTTTCCATCTGAGTCCCTACTGAGCTTATGCTGGTTCCACAGTGAAATGTGTATTTATTTGATGCCACCAAGTGCAAATGCAAGAGCAGAGACAGGGACTATGGAAACCAGTCTTCTAAAATGGCTCCCAAGGATCCCCACCTCCTCGTATTCATGCCCTTGTATAATCCCCTCCCCTTGCGTGTAGGCTAGACTTAGTGATGCACTTCTAACAAACATATGGCACAAATCATAGGATATCATTTCCAAGATTATGTCACAAACGACTATAACTTCTGTCTTGAGCACCCTCTCTCACTCTTTCTCACTTGCTCACTTTCATGAAGCCAACTGCCGTGTGAGCTGCCCTGTGGAGTGGCCCATATGGCAAGGAACTGAGGGCAGCTGTGAGTCAACAGCCAGAGAGAAACTGAGGATCTCCGTCCAAGAGCCCTCAAGAAACTGAATCCTGCCAACACCACTGAGTGAGCTTGGAAGCAAATCCGGCCCAGCTGAACCCTGAGATGACTGAGGCCCCCGTCAACACCTTGACTACAGTCTTATGAGACCCTGAGCCAGAGGACACAGCAAAGTTGTACCCAGATTCCTGACCCTGTTGTTTAAGGCATTAAATTTTGGGGAAATTTGTTACTCAACAATAGACAACTAATACAGAGACTCAATTTTCTTGGTATCCTTTGCACTATCTACTCTAGAATTTTGCACCCACTCATTGAATCGGTCAGTGTTCCGTTCTGTTGCACATAGGGTCACTATGCTTCTGAAACAACTTGATGACATCTAACAATTTGATCTAATGACTTCAGTCAAGTCACTCCTCACCTCTGGGCGTCAGAATCACCTTTAGGGCATGTTAAAACAGACTGCTGGACCCCACCCCGAGAGGTTCTGATTCAATAGGTCTGGGAAGGACCTGAGACTCTGCATTTCTAACAAGTTCCAGGTAATGCTAATGCTGATTGTTCAGGAACCTCACATGGAAAACCACTGGACTAGACTGTGGTCCACATGGCCCTGAGTTCCCTGGAGGTTTTCCTGCCTGGAGGAGTGCAGAGTGGGTATGATTTCAGGCTATTGATTCTATCAAAGTAGCTCTTTTGGGGCTGATAAATATCGTGATAAATGGTACAGATATTGAAGCTGTTGAGGATTTCATTCAACTTGAATCAAAAATCAACACCCATGAAAGCAGCAGTCAAGAAATCAAACAACGTATTGCACTGTGAAAATCTGCTGCAAAAGATCTCTTTAATATCTTAAACAGCAAAACATGTCATTCTGATGACGAAGGTTCGCCTGACCCAAGCCACAGTATTTTCAAAAGCCTCATATGCGTGTGAAAAGCTGGACAACGAAAAAGAAGACCAAAGAAGAATTGATGCATTTGAATTGTAGTGTTGGTGAAGAACATTGACTATACCATGGACTTCCAGAAAACAAACAAATCTGTCTTGGAAGAAGTACGACCAGAATCTCCTTAGAAGTTAGAATAGCAAGCCTTCGTCTTGCTTACTTTGAACATGTTATCAGGGAAGACCAATCACTAAAAAAGGCACCATGTTTGGTAAAGCAGAAGGTCAGAGAAAATGAGGGAAGCCCTACATGAGATGGGCTGACAAAACAGCTGCAACAATGAGCCCAAAGATACCAGTGATTGTAAAGATGGCTCAGGACAGGGCAACATTGTATTCTAAGTAAGATCACCGGCTGTGAGTTGGAGTTGACTCCAAGGCAAGTAACCACAACAGCTCCTTTTTATATCTCTTCAATACACTGGACTCCTTTGGCACCATTTTGTTTTGAAAAAGGGGTATGGGGCTAAAAGATAAAGTATAAAACCATTGCACTGTTTGCTCCACAAAGGCTGGGGCCCTGTTCATTACAGTATCCCCCCAAGTGAATAAGACAGGCAGGAGCATGACAAAGTATTTTAAATAGACTGGTAATCTTTCTTAATACATCAACCTGCTTTTTTGACTTGAGAAGTAATGCCCAAAATAGAAAACTAATCCTGAGTATTAGTCCTGTTGATAGGGCTCTGTAAACCAGGAAAATGCCAGTATGTATGCCTCTCTCATGTGTTGGTGGGCAAGGACTGCGTTACCTGCAAGTTACTCTGAGTGTCTCCTTTTAGCCTTGACTTAAGTTAGAAACCTGCAGAGGGTTTCTAACCCTACGCAAAGTGGGGTCATCTAAGGAGCATTAGATTTGGTACCTTCCTGCCCCTTCATCTAATCAACCTCTCATTACCGCCAACCCAATCAACTGACTCTCTCTCCTATCCCTGCCTCCTTTGACATGGCCTTGACCACGCCCCACCACTATCTCACCTCTACTATTACAGCATTTTATTGTGGTTGTGTGCCATCAAATCATTTCTGACACATAGAAACCCTAGAGGACGGAGTAGAACTGCCCCGTAGGGTTTCCTAGTCTACATAATGATAAACAGAGAAAAAGATTGGAGTTGTCAAGGATTTCATTTTACTTGGATCCAAAATCAACACTCATGGAAGCAGCAGTCAAGAAATCAAATGATGTATTGCATCGGGTAAATCTGTTGCAAAAGATCTCTTTAAAGTGTTAAAAAGCAAAGATGTCACTTTGAAGACTAAAGCGTACCTGACCCAAGCCATAGTATTTTCAATTGCCTCACATGCATGCAAAAGCTGGACAGTAAATAAGGGAGACCAGAGAAGAGATGATGCATTTGAATTATGGTGTTGGTGAAGAATATTGAACATACCATGGACTGCCAGAAGAACAAACAAAGCTGGAATGATCCCTAGAAGTGAGGATGGCTGGACTTCGTCTCTTGTACTTTGGTCATATTATCAGAAGGAACCAGTCCCTGGAGAAGGGCTTCATATTGTGTAAATCAGAGGGTCAGCAAAAAAGAGGAAGACCCTCAACAAGATGGATTAACACAGTGGTTGCAACAAGGGGTTCAAAGATAACAACTGTGAGAATGGCACAGGACAAGGCAGTGTTTCATTCTATTGTACATAGGGTCGCTATGAGTTGGAACCGACTTGAAAGCACTGACAACAACATAATGACAGGAGCATATTGCTAAATCTTTCCACCACAGAGCTGCTGGATGGGTTCAAACTGCCAAGCTTTTGGTTAGCAGCCGATGACTAAACATTTCACCACCAGGGCTCCTATGTGACTGTTATAGCAATGTTTTTGGTAGCTCCTCTACATGGGCCAATTTCTAATGCTTTGGGACTCAGCTCCCTAGAAGTCCTTCCCTCCATTCCCTGTGCTCCCAAGTCTATACGTAGATACTTCCAATTCTAAGCTTACCACATCCCTGATAATAATCTATCAAGTCTCTTTTTATCTCACTAGACTGTGACTTCTCAAGCAACAGAAGAATCCAAATTCTCCTCATCTTTGCAGCCGAGGACCTGACATAGTGTTTAATACAGTCATGGGCTTATAGTCATGGAGGACAATAGCTAATGTTTATTCAGTACTTCTAATGCACCAGAAATTATTTTTAACATTTTGCACATACTATCTCTTCTAATAAGGCACTCTGGTGGTGCAGTGTCTAAGGCATTTGACTGCTAACCAGAAGGTTGATGGTTCTAAACCCACCAGTCAGTTCACAGAAGGAAGATGAGGCATTCTACTTTGGTAAAGATTTACCACCTTGGAAACCCAGTGGGGGTTGCTACGAGTTGGAATCAACTCGATGGCAGTGGGTTACTGTATTTAATGGGAGCAGCGATGGATCAGTTGTAGAATTCTCGCCTTCCATGTGGGAGACCCAGTTTTGATTCCCAACCAATGCACCTTGTGCACTGTCACACCCATTTCTCAGCTGAGGCTTGTGTGTTGCTGTGATGTTGAATGGGTTTCAATGTAGCTTCCAATCTAAGACCAGCTAAGAAGAAAGGCCTGGTGATCTACTTCTTGAAAGCAGGTAATGAAAACTCTATGGATCACAGTGGTCCAATCTGCAGCCAGTCAAGAAGATGGTGTGGGACCGGGCAGCGTTTTGTTCTGTTGTGCATGGGGGTTGCCTCAAGTCACAGGCCAACTTGACCATAGCTAATAACAAGTGAATACCCAATAGATCAAGTGATCATAAAAATCATCAGTTATCTTATTCAATTCTCAGGAAAGAAAAAAAAACTTGCGTTATCACCCATTTTACAAGTGAAGAAACTGAAAATCGGAGCGATTAAGAAAATTGCTCAAGGGCACATAGCTAAGTGGAGCTGGGATCCAACCCTAGGTAAGGCTGACTCCAAAGCCTGTGATATTTTTTACTTTATCTAACTGCCTGGAATCATCAAATATTATACAAATCAAATAAAGATGACGTTTATTCAACAAGCATTTATAGAAGCCTTACTATGTGCAAGGCAATGGGGAGGACACCAAGTTGAATAAGACCGGGTTCCCATTCCACCTTCTAAATCCGGTAATAATCTTATAATGTTTAACCCTTGTCCCTGCATTTTCCTCTCCAGCTCTTTGTAATTCTTAATATCTCCTGCTTTCAGACAAAAGGGAATTTTCTCCAAATGGCATTCTTGCAGAATAT